TTCAGTTCGGATGGCTAAAGGTGTGATTTGTTGTCAAAATGCCAGGATACATGACTATTGCACCAGAGATAGGCTTGTCCACTCCCCATTACCACCATTACCGTTCCGTACCAACCCCCCCCCCCTTTCTCTTAACCAATTATACTTACAAAAGACATGACACCAATTTTGGAGTAAATGGCCAACATGGCTTTTTATTAACAACTCAAGTTACAATACACCAACCATTCCTTATAACAGAAACCCAAAGAATTGTTGTTGGTCTTCGAAGGCACCCCAAACGATCCGAAATGCACCTGCGGACAACCATATACACTAGGCCTCCAGGCGCAACTAACCAGCTCAGAGACAACCATACCGTCCGCAGTGCAGCACCACCACCTTCCAGTTAAACCTTGGTTAACTGGGAATGTCCCCGGGCATCCATACCACCGATGGGTCCCACACCATTGTTCTTACCTTCCAAGATAAGAACCACCTCCAAAGACCAACAACCGCCCATGAACCAACATAATCCCCCCTTTTCCTGGAGGGACCCAATGCTCACCAAAAACAGTGAGGGCGGGAGGGAAGCTCTCACTCCTGACATCCAGCTCCAACTGACGCCCCCTCACTGAAATCCCCCACCCTAAGGTGCAGCAAACCCAACCTACCCTCAACCTTCTACCAACCAGATACCCCCACTATCAAAACAAACCCCTTGGAGCTGACCTTAACCCTTTCTGTTCCTCCTTCCCCACTCTGGACCTAGTCATGCATGCCCTGCGCTATTTCTTCTCTCTTTTTTGCTACGGGCATTTCTGATGTTAAATGTGGAGGACAGGAAAAGGCCCAGATACTTAATGAGATAATGGCCATGGAGACGCTGGTTGCAGAAGACAGCCCCGATCCTGAAGGAGTCCACACCACCTGGATGCATTGGAGGGCCTACAGCCTTTTCAAGCCTTAATCTCCCAGTGATTAGCCTTATTCCTTTTTACTTCTAGTGATTTTTCAAGTGTTTCTCAGATTGTTTAGTTATCCCCTTTCTTTCTCCCCTTCTCACCCCCTCTCTTTTTTTCACTTTTTTTGTTTTCCTCTTTCCCCTCGTTCCTTTCCTTTCCCCAATCCTTTCCATGGGATGCTTTACTGCCACTAATTGCTTACTACTGACTGTGGTATTGTCATGTACACAGTGTAGTTGGCAACCTATTCTACTCAACACATGTTGTTGCATCTGTTTTTTTATGGAAATGGTACAGTATGTCGCTCTTTTCTTTTGGGGGGGGTATCGTCCATGACATGTTTTTGATTACCATTTTCAACAGTTATGTCTTGTCCTTGTGTCAAAATACTTATTTTGAATTAAAAGATGCTTAACCCCAAACAATATGGTGTTGAAGGCCCCACCTCACTGTCCTCAAAAGTATGGCCATTTTCCTTAAGGTGTAGGAAGACTGCTGATTCTTGACCTGTAAAATTTGCCCTCCTATGTTGGCAATTTGTTTGTTAAGAAGTTGCTTCATTTCCCCAATATAGAGGGATGCACTGCATATATCATCTTCTCTCCATCCTATATCTCCTTTCATATTTACTTTCTCTTCATCCCGCAGGTCCTCTCACTCATATTTGTCCTCTTTTCTTGCTTACATTTTCTCCATCCCACATCAACTCTCTCTTCTCACTAACCTCTCCATCCCATATCTCTTCTTTGTCTCACCAACCTTCTCTCCTTCCCACATCTCTTTTCTTGTATCTCTAACCATCTGTCCATGCAACATCTCCTCTCTCTTCTAATCTCTCCATCCTGCATCTTCTCTCATCTCACTAACTTTCTCTCCTTCCCACATTTCTTCTCTCATCTCACTAACCTCTCCAGCCCATATCTATTCTCATCTCACTAACCTTCTTTCTATCCTACATCTCCTGTCACATCTCACTAATCTCTACTCCATCCTGCATCTCCTCTCATCTTGCTAACGTCTCTTTCCCACATCTCTATTTTTTCTCATCTCACTAACCTCTCAGTCCCATATCTCCTCTCTCTTCTCAGTAACCTCTCAGTCCCATATCTCCTCTCTCTTCTCAGTAACCTCTCAGTCCCATATCTCCTCTCTCTTCTCAGTATCCTCTCAGTCCCATATCTCCTCTCTCTTCTCAGTAACCTCTCAGTCCCATATCTCCTCTCTCTTCTCAGTAACCTCTCAGTCCCATATCTCCTCTCTCTTCTCACTAACCTATTCTCCATTCCATACTTCCTCTCTGGGCTCACTGTCCCTATTTCTATCTCTTATGTCACTATCCTTCTCTCCATCCCACATCTTTCTTGTTTCACTAACCTCCTGTCCATCCAACATCTCCGCTCTTGCCTCTTTAATCTTATCTCCATTCTGCACCTCTTTTCTTATCTCAGTAATCTCCTCTCTCCTTTTACTAACCTTCTCTCCATCTAACATCTCCTCTCTTATCTCACTAACCTATTCTACATCCCACATTTCCTCTCTAATCTCACTAACCTCTCCGTCCCATATCTCCTCTCTCTTCTCACTATCCTTCTTTCTATTCCACATCCAACATCTCTCTTGTTTCATTAATCTTCTCTCCATTCTGCACCTTCTCTCATCTCATTAATCTCCTCTCTCATCCCACCAACCTTCTCTTCATCCTTTATCTCTTCTCTCATCCCACTAACCTTCTCTACATCTAACATCTCCTCTCCAGTCTCACTTACCATCTCTCCATCCTACATCTCCTCTCTCGTCTCACTAATCTTCTTTCTATTCTACATCTCCTCACTCATTGCACTAACCCTCCCTTTGTCCCATATCTTGTCTAATCTATTTTATTCTACATCTTATATCGCCTCTCCTTTCTCTCATCTTTTTTTCTGTCTCTTTTCTCTTCCCTGGATCTTTTATCACTTCTCTTCTCTTCGCTTCCCTTCCCCTCTCTTCCCTTACCTTCTCTTCTCTTCCCTTACCTTCTCTTCTCTTCCCTTACCTTCTCTTCTCTTCCCTTACCTTCTCTTCTCTTTGCTTCCCTTCTCTTCGCTTCCCTTCTCTTCTCTTAGCTTCCCTTATCTTCTCTTCGCTTCCCTTCTCTTCTCTTCCCTTACCTTCTCTTCTCTTCGCTTCCCTTCTCTTCTCTTCCCTTCCCTTCTCTTCTATTCTCTTCTCTTCTCTTCTCTTCCCTTCCCTTCCCTTCCCTTCTCTTCCCTTCCCTTCCCTTCCCTTCTCTTCTCTTCTCTTCTCTTCCCTTCCCTTCCCTTCTCTTCCCTTCCCTTCTCTTCCTTTACCTTCCCTTCCCTTCTCTTCTCTTTGCTTCTCTTCTCTTCTCTTCCCTTCTCTTCCCTTCCCTTCCCTTCTCTTCTCTTTGCTTCTCTTCTCTTCCCTTCTCTTCCCTTCCCTTCTCTTCCCTTCCCTTCCCATCTTACTGTATATCTTCCTTCTTGTGTATTAGCTCCTCATCCCATCTCCTCTCAGTAATATTCTCCATGTGCTGACATCTTCTCTCATCCATATTTCCTCACATGTTCCTGCTCATCCATATTCTAACGTGTATTTCTCTTCTTCATTTCATTTAGCACCCAGTTCTGTTGTCATTTATTTATTCATTTCCTAGATTTCACAAATGTTATATTACAATCCCATTCTGACATCAGTGTCCTCAGTCCTCCGCACATCAGTCACCCACTTCACATCAATTTCCCCTTCACATTTGTGTCCACTGCCCCCTTCACATCAACCACCTCCCACAACATTGCCCACTTCAGATCTCCCTCTACAGCACTGCCCCCTTTACACACACCCCTCCCCCACATCAGTGCTCCCCTTTTAACCCCCCTCCCACAGCATTGCCCCCTCTTTACATAACATCTCCTCCCCACAACTGCCCCTTTCACATCTCCCCACAGCACTACCCCCCTTTACATCTCCCCCCACAGCACTGCCCCCCTTTCACATTCAGGTTTAGCTAGGGGGTGCTAGTCAGGTTTTTAGGCAGAGACTGAATAGCAGCCTGGGATGAGTCAGACAGGTTACTCTGGGTCAGGACTGAGGGCTCGGCAGGTCAGTTCCATGATACCTCCCCCTGGTATAGAAGCTTGAGAAGTTTTTAGAAGGCAGTGGGTGGAGGTGAGGAGGGGCTGATCTGCATGTTTAAGGGTTCTTGACCATTCCCCAAGCAGGAGGCTTGGCACGGGGCCAGGATAGCCCTTAAGTATGAGAGAGCCTGATCTGCAAATGTCAGGTGGAAGATGGAGTGAAGGCTGGAGTGTGGAGCCTGGGAGGGGGCCCAGAGATGGGGGTTACCTGCAGGCTGGTGCTGGACAAGAAAGTCTCCACTATACCGCTGTCTTCTAGGAAGGACAGCCTAAATAGCAAGGAAGGAACCAGCCCAGCGAAAAGCCTGAAGGCAGCCACCTACCCATTTTGCTATCAGGAAAGACAGTGTGAGTAACCTTACACCCCCTGGACCACATAAGGGGAGAGGGCAATCTGGTGGGAAACCTGACTAGCCCCCATCTGGGACTGCTAAGCTAAAGGTGGCAGTTTCTGGGTCCCCTTGTCCCAGGATTTCCTCAGGCAGCTGGGTGAAGAGGAGGACTCCTCTGGGGTCTGAGGTGGTACACCCAAAAGCTGGAGAGCTCTTTAACCACCTCCCGCCCGCCATATAGTCCAATGACGGGCGCAAGGTGGTTCTCTCGTTCTGATAGGCCATCTTTTGACGTCCTTCCATTCTCACTGCGCATGCGCGGCTCAGGGAGCACGCAGCGTGGCGATCGGCGGTGCTCTGTGTCCCTCGGACACAGCGGATCACCGATCAACAGAAAGAGCCAAAGATGTTGACTCAGTCATGTGATCATCTGTGTCCAATCACAGCTGATCACATGTAAACAGGGAATTGCCGGTTATCGGCATTTCTCTCCTCTCGAGCTGTCACGCTGACAGAGGAGAGGAGAGCCAATAATTGGCATTCCGCGGAGGGAACATGTACACTGATGATCAGTGTGGCCCCAGTTGTGCCACCTGTCAGTGTCCATCAGTTCCGAACAGTGCCACGTGCCAGTGCCCATCAGTGCCACATCAATGCCACATATCAGTGCCTACCAGTGCACATCAGTGCCACATATCAGTTCCCATCTGAGCTGCCCTTCAGTGTCACCCATCAGTGCCAGTCAGTGCCACCTATCAATGCCAATCAGTGCCACCTATCAGTGCTGGCAATCAGTGCCGCCTATCAGTGCCAGTCAGTGCTGCCTATCAGTGCGCATCAGTGCCGCCTATCAGTGCCAGTCAGTGCCGCCTATCAGTGTTAGTGATTGCCACCTAACAGTGCCAGTCAGTGCCACCTAACAGTGCCAGTCAGTGCCACCTATCAGTGCCGCCTATCAGTGCCATATATCAGAGCTGCCTTTCAGTGCCCATCAGTGATGCCTGTCAATGTCCATCAGTGCCACCTACCAGTGCCTCCTCATCAGTGCCCATCAGTGCCACCTATCAGTGTCCATCAGTGCATCTTATCAGTGCCCATCACTGCAGCCTCATTAGCACACATCAGTGAAGGAGAAAAATCACTTATTTACAAAATTTATAACAAAAACTAAGAAAAAAAAATTTTTTTTTCAAAATTTTCAGTGGTTTTTGGTTTGTTTAAGAAAAAATAAAAAACCCCGAGGGGATTAAATACCACCAAAAGAAAGCTCTATCTGTCACAAAAACATGATAAAAATTTCATATGAGTACAGTGTTGCATGACCGCACAATTGTCATTCAAAGTGTGACAACGCTGAAAGCTGAAAATTGGTCTGGGCAGGAAGGGGTAGAAGTGTCCTGTAGGCGGGAAGGGGGTAGAAGTGTCCTGTAGGCAGGAAGGGGGTAGAAGTGTCCTGTAGGCAGGAAGGGGGTAGAAGTGCCCTGTAGGCAGGAAGGGGGTAGAAGCGCCCGGTAGGCAGGAAGGGGGTAGAAGTGCCCGGTAGGCAGGAAGGGGGTAGAAGTGCCCGGTAGGCAGGAAGGGGGTAGAAGCGCCCTGTAGGCAGGAAGGGGGTAGAAGCGTCCTGTAGGCAGGAAGGGGGTAGAAGTGCTCTGTAGTCAGGAAGGGGGTAGAAGTGTTCTGTAGGCGGGAAGGGGGTAGAAGTGCCCGGTAGGCAGGAAGGGGGTAGAAGTGTCCTGTAGGCAGGAAGGAGGTAGAAGTGTCCTGTAGGCGGGAAGGGGGTAGAAGTGCCCTGTAGGCGGGAAGGGGGTAGAAGTGTCCTGTAGGCGGGAAGGGGGTAGAAGTGCCCTGTAGGCGGGAAGGGGGTAGAAGTGTCCAGTAGGCGGGAAGGGGGTAGAAGTGTCCGGTAGGCGGGAAGGGGGTAGAAGCGCCCTGTAGGTAGGAAGGGGGTAGAAGCGCCCTGTAGGCAGGAAGGGGGTAGAAGCGCCCTGTAGGCAGGAAGGGGGTAGAAGTGTCCGGTAGGCGGGAAGGGGGTAGAAGCGTCCAGTAGGCGGGAAGGGGGTAGAAGCGTCCTGTAGGCGGGAAGGGGGTAGAAGCGCCCTGTAGGCGGGGGGGGTAGAAGCGCCCGGTAGGCGGGAAGGGGGTAGAAATGCCCTGTAGGCGGGAAGGGGGTAGAAGCGTCCTGTAGGCGGGAAGGGGGTAGAAGCGCCCTGTAGGCGGGAAGGGGGTAGAAGTGCTCTGTAGGCGGGAAGGGGGTAGAAGTGTCCGGTAGGCGGGAAGGGGGTAGAAGTGTCCAGTAGGCGGGAAGGGGGTAGAAGCGCCCTGTAGGCGGGAAGGGGGTAGAAGCGCCCTGTAGGCGGGAAGGGGGTAGAAGTGTCCGGTAGGCGGGAAGGGGGTAGAAGTGTCCGGTAGGCGGGAAGGGGGTAGAAGCGTCCTGTAGGCGGGAAGGGGGTAGAAGCGTCCTGTAGGCGGGAAGGGGGTAGAAGCGCCCTGTAGGCGGGAAGGGGGTAGAAGCGCCCGGTAGGCGGGAATGGGGGTAGAAGAGCTCGGTAGGCGGGAAGGGGGTAGAAGCGTCCTGTAGGCGGGAAGGGGGTGGAAGCGCCCGGTAGGCGGGAAGGGGGTAGAAGCGCCCTGTAGGCGGGAAGGGGGTAGAAGCGCCCTGTAGGCGGGAAGGGGGTAGAAGCGCCCGGTAGGGGGGGGAAGGGGGTAGAAGCGCCCTGTAGGCGGGAAGGAGGTAGAAGCACCCGGTGGGCAGGAAGGGGGTAGAAGCGCCCTGTAGGCAGGAAGGGGGTAGAAGTGTCCGGTAGGCAGGAAGGAGGTAGAAGCGGCCGGTAGGCAGGAAGGGGGTAGAAGCGGCCCGGTAGGCGGGAAGGGGGTAGAAGCGCCCTGTAGGCGGGAAGGGGGTAGAAGCGCCCTGTAGGCGTGAAGGGGGGTAGAAGCGCCCGGTAGGGGGGAAGGGGGTAGAAGCGCCCTGTAGGCGGGAAGGGGGTAGAAGCACCCGGTGGGCGGGAAGGGGGGGTAGAAGCACCCGGTGGGCAGGAAGGGGGTAGAAGCGCCCTGTAGGCAGGAAGGGGGTAGAAGTGTCCGGTAGGCGGGAAGGGGGTTGAAGCGCCCGGTAGGCGGGAAGGGGGTAGAAGCGCCCGGTAGGCGGGAAGATGGTAGAAGCGCCCTGTAGGCGGGAAGGGGGTAGAAGCGCCCTGTAGGCGGGAAGGGGGTAGAAGCGCCCTGTAGGCGGGAAGGGGGTAGAAGCGCCCGGTAGGGGGGGGAAGGGGGTAGAAGCGCCCTGTAGGCGGGAAGGAGGTAGAAGCACCCGGTGGGCAGGAAGGGGGTAGAAGCGCCCTGTAGGCAGGAAGGGGGTAGAAGTGTCCGGTAGGCAGGAAGGGGGTAGAAGCGGCCGGTAGGGGCAGGAAGGGGGTAGAAGTGCCCTGTAGGCAGGAAGGGGGTATAAGTGCCCTGTAGGCAGGAAGGGGGTAGAAGTGTCCTGTAGGCAGGAAGGGGGTAGAAGTGCCCGGTAGGCGGGAAGGGGGTAGAAGTGCCCGGTAGGCGGGAAGGGGGTAGAAGTGCCCTGTAGGCAGGAAGGGGGTAGAAGCGCCCTGTAGGCAGGAAGGGGGTAGAAGTGTCCGGTGGGCAGGAAGGGGGTAGAAGTGCCCTGTAGGCAGGAAGGGGGTAGAAGTGCCCTGTAGGCAGGAAGGGGGTAGAAGTGCCCTGTAGGCAGGAAGGGGGTAGAAGTGCCCTGTACGCGAGGGGTTAAAGGAGAGACTTTTCTTTTTGTCCACGGACATTTCCTTGGGCATCTCATACACCCCATCCAAGTTCAAAACCCCTTAATAAAATCACAAAACCAAACTCAAGGACTGCTTACTGTCTCCAGTGTGCAGGTGTGGAAGAAAATGTGTGTTGCCTGGCTGTGCAGTGCTGTAGGGGAACCCAAAACTCAGCGACTCCTTAGGGGGTAGTGCTACATATGGACCTTCTTTGTAAAATCAGGAATGTTCTCTGTAGTGCAGATGTGGATTATACCTGGGTATGTTACATGGATATGATCACTACTATGTCCTTTTTTAAGTTTTGTACAATAAGATAGGCATTTTATGGGTTTTGTTGGTATTTGTTGGCTTTGCTCACTACCCTGTATGCCCTCCCACAGTCTCTTTGATACAAATGTTTTGTGTTATATACTGTATATTGGTGGGATGCGGGCATAAAACCTCTGTGTCTTCTTCCTTTATCCAATGGATTATATCCAGTCTTCCGCCATGACTTCACACGGTGGGATCAGGAAACGAGATACTTAAACATACCTGAAAGCCATTCACGGGTTGAGGTCAAGCCCATCCATTATGTCCTCAGCTGCACGAAATGTAAATGTTGTTCTCTTGGGTCTTTCATAATCTTTTATCTTAATTTCCCAATCTGTAAAACCTTCTCCCTGATCTATGAATTATATACAAAACCCTCACTCCAACAGAGCACAGAGTCCCGATCTTTGGAGACTTGATGGCCTCTGTTACATTCTACTGTCCTGTATATCAAACCCTTGAGGAGCAGTTCAGTTGTAGCATGTAGTCTGGGGTTTATTGATGGAAACAGCCCATTGCCGGCACCCACGCAGCCTAAATCTACCGCAGATGCGGATTTGTACAAGATTACCACATCTTCCTTTTTGTTGCTGACACATTTACCTTGAAAAGGCGTGTGGTTATGTGGATTTAATCAGTCCCCTACCAGGATTAGATCAGTACCTATGTGTAGTACCCCTCTAGTTAGCTAGGGGGAGCCAGCTAGGTTCTTTAGTTAGAGGCTGAATAGAGGCTGAATAGCAGCCTGGTGTGAGTTAGCCTGGGATGAGTCAGGTCCAGGGGCGGACTGACAACTCATGGGGCCCCCGGGCAATAGGGGATCATGGGGCCCCTGTGTCCTTGCCCAAACTCAAAAAAGCCTATGAAAAAGGTACCAGGGGCATCTCATGGGGCCCCCTACTGACCCCGGGCCCTTGGGCAGTGCCCGAGTTTCCAAATGGTCAGTCCACCCCTGGTCAGGTCATCAGTTCATGGTTTGTGAGACGGGTCAGCTTCTTGAAGACATCACAGCACCCTTCCTCAGTACTCCTCAAGAGCCTTCAGCCCTGATGTAAAAAGGTGGGCTGGCATTGGAGGTTGTGCATATATCAAAATGCTTTGATGGGGTGGATGTCAGTCTGGAGGAGACAGGGGGTTCCCAGGTAAGCTGCCCTAGGTGACACCTACATGCCGAGCCTCCATGAGCAAAAGAATTTGAAGTCCAATGAATGAAGGGGGCCAGGAGCAGTCAGGCTGGGTAGGAAAACTCTAGATAAGTGGTCTCCAAACTGGGGCCAGATGTGGCCCTTTACCTGCCTTTATCTGGCCCTTTGGACACTTTTCAATCTGCTGACACCAATTGGTCATAATTGCTTCCTTTGAAACCAACGATGAGGCACTAGTCCTCCCAATGGCACCAAAGATGGGGCATTGGTTACTCCCACTGATGCCAGGACATTTGCTACTCCGGCCATAATCCGGCCCTCCTACAGTTGGACGGTAAACTGGCCCTTGGTTTTGAAAGTATGGAGACCCATGCTCTAGATGAGGCTGGACATCTTCCAGCCTAGATATGAGGTGGGCTCTGTGTGACTTGCCACAGCTTCTAATGCACACTGTCAGAAGCTCACAGTGTGCATGGAAATCAGAGTAAGCTTTTTCTGTCCGCTTCGATCACTTCTGCGGTTGGCGGAAGGGTGTGCCCCCCTCCCGCCACCGCCTTGCCCAGGCTCTGCCATCTGATCGCAGAGCCCAGGACTGCTGCAACCACAGAGAGAGAGGAACTGACGTCATTCCCCCTTCTCCGTGACCAGGGAAAATGGAAGCAACAAGGATTTTGTCACTTCCGGTTTCGGCTTGGTAAGCAGCCGATCAGACCGATCTGTGTCTG